TAAATGTTAAATTTCGATGTATATATGTTGGATTGATGTTTGGTTGAACTCCGGATTCTGACATGGCCGGTACTGTTCATCATCGGCTTCGATTTTCATATTTTTTTCATTTTGTGATTTTGACTTGTTTGCGCGCGTTGGTGTGTTTCGGAACGTAGTAGATCGACGTAAACTGATCCGTTAGTCCTGGCGAGAGTTGGGCAGGCAGTCTGCTAACCCCTTTGGTTCGCCTTAGGGGAAGGTGGGGCTGTTACAAAGACAATATGATTATATATATATATGTACTCAAATAATAGTGTGAGTAATTGTAGCAGGAATTAGTAGTACCGGCCGTGTCGTTTTCTTCGTAATTTGTCGTGTTGTGAGGTCGTTAGAAAGAATCTTCCGGAATTGATCCGTGTCAGCAGTTAGTTACATGCATCCTCAGGCACTACTATTAGTAGTGCGGCTGTGTATGCAAGGGTTAAGCATTGTCACTCCTATCCGATTCCCATCTGAATTTGTCCCGTATTCCCAACCCTCAATCTCTTTCTCCTTTTCCTCTCTCCCTTTCCATTCCTGCTGCTGCTTTTTCTTGACAATTTAAATTGAACTGCAAAAGTTCATATCACTAGGATTTCTCATTTTGTTGGTGAAGACTTCTACCATGGAGCCCTTATCACTAGGAAGAAGGCAGAAGAACAAGAGAAAAATGGAGGAGATTGGTGATACAAGCACAGATCATTGCCATTGCCATTTTTCTAACGCCAGATTTCACAAGGATCGAAAGGTTTTCCCGGTAGTTCAAGTCCCACATGGAGTTTTTAGAAGACCGGCTGATGCTGGCAAGACTGATGGGTCAGAAATCCATATCGATCATATTATGATACGCTCCTCGATCAATAACAGGTAAAGGCGTGCTTTATTGATGGTTTGACCCGATTCTTTATGCCCTTCTACAAGATTGAACTCGAAAGTTTGTTTAACCATTAGGATTTGTTACTTTTCTCTTGATTTCCCTGTTCTCCTGTCTATTTGCTCCATTTGAAGCCCCGATATGGCCTTGGAAGAGTAAGATTTATCAAAAGAAAACATCTTCAACCTTGGCCGAGATTTTATATTGGGCCATATTAATTAAGCCCTCAATCCGCCTTCCCACAGTCCTCTGTTCCAGTACTCCTTATATAGGCGTAATTAAGCAGAAACACTATCATCAAATTAATGTTCAGAAAGTCGCAGATGTCTTTGCGTGTAATAGCACGCTTTTAAAATTTTTCGCTAAAATACGTCGTTTTCCAGTCACTATATATCAAGATATCTCGACCGTTCATCACTCGCTGTAATGGAACGAAACTCTTGTTGTTCATAACTCCAGCTTTCATAAATGTATTCATAAGGTTGTAGACATTTCAACACCTTACCATGTTGCAGTCAAATCCATCACTTTCATGTCAATACAACTCCACGCCACAGATGCCTTAGACGACATCATAATCACATGAAAAAAATGCATGGCCGCCGCACTTCTTGAGGGAGCATTCAAAATTACCGACGAGTTCTCTAAGACAGTGTTTGTTGGAGCAGAAAGATGTGAAAAATATAGCCCTTTTAGATCAACTACTTTTGGCAAATGTTTATTAGTGCTTTGTTACTTCTAAAGGGACTTCTTTTGATCACATGAACTTTAAATTGCAAAATTGCTATTTTTGGTGAAATTATGTTGTTATATCTTATTATTGGGTTGGAGGAGTTTTAATCGGAATAAAATTGTTAATTGAGAGAGTATTAATTGGAGTGAGGAGGTGTGTGAGGGGAGGAGTGTTAGTTGGAGTGGTATTCTTATTTGATGAAAATGTGGTAATGTGTTGAAAACGTGGACATGATGTATTTTACGAAATAAATTAAATATAAAATGCTAGAAAAATGGAATTGAGTGTGGGAAGGTGTGTGGAAGCTTATTATTAAAAACCTCTTCTCAAATTTATATAGATAGATATAGATTTTATGGAAAATGCGGTAGTAACTATCGTTATAATAACTAAACAGTTTTTACCTGATATAACAGGTTGTTATACTTTTAGCGATCATTTAATTACCTGTTGGATCTATCCACCTAAATAAGATAATGTCTAAAAATAAGAAAGTAAGTTTCTCATCTAAAATAGTAAGTTAACCGTAATAATTAGTAATTTTTGTGTCTCAAAAGGTAAATTGGAATAAATATGAAACTTATTTTTTAAAGGGATAATATCAGAAACCTCCCCTGAGGTTTCTTGAAATATCACTAAGCTCCCTCCACATTTTGGAAATCTCTCCTACCACCCCTCAAGTGATGGTGGGGTCAGAAGTCACTATGAAAATTCATCAGTTGCTAATAATACCCTTGTTTCTGCTGTGGTCTTATTCAGCTTATAAAAGGAGAAAAAATGACAATATCACTAAGCGTGCAACTGTATAAGGAGCGGGAAACCATTGCCGCCTAGAAGTTGAGTTCCGTACGTGTATCATGGCGCCATTTTGCTCTGATAAGACATCTAAGTGCCCGGGAAATGTCAAGGAATGAAATACTACTTATAACTGTGATTGTTATTTGTAGCTTGGAGAACCAATTGAAGCTATGTTTCTGGAAATCTCTTGCTGGATATTGCAGAGGAGGAGAAATATGGCACTTGAATGAATTGCATGCGTTCGGTTGGACCGAAAGTGTGATTGTCAAAACTAAGCTGCAAAACAGGTAAAAATCTTCCATTGCTGGTTGATATAATCAACATGTAATTGGACAAAATGCAGGTGTCATTAAGCTTTCTGTTTGATTTGCCTATAATATCTCTGTTTTCCTTATATTTTTCTGTTTTGTTAGACTTGATGACTGAGTTTATAATCCAACCAGACCCTTTGTATGCTCTTGTTTTATTAAGTATTATTGATGTTGGATGTTATAAAAAATGTGTGATTTGATGATGTATGCCTAACCTTTATAAAGTTGATGAACAAAAAAGTTGATGAATATTGAGTTTTTTGAAGCTGTAATACATAAGAAGAGCTTAGCTTTGTAGATTAAAGTTGCAATACATATGACAAGCTCTAAGTGTAGTGTATACAGTTGGTTAGTAGACAAAAGTGAAAATTTAAATGAAAAGCTGGTGAGGGTGATGATGTTCATGAAAGCTGCAATGAAGGTTCTGTTTTGCAACCTGAGTTTGACTTTGAATAAGCATGCATGTGTTATAGCCCTCTGAGTATGTGATCCATATAGCAACTGATTGAGACTTTTCTTGGGAACACACTGATATGTAGGATGGGAAGAATTATTGCACATGATATTGTAGTTCATTACATGGGAAACACTGTCAGAATTCCAAATGTCGATCCAAAGAACTACCAATATATTGACCTTCTCGGTGATGTTACTGATAAGGCAATGAATGATTTGCCTGGAAATTTGAACATGCTTGTGCATATGAAATGTGCGATTCCTAGAACAACAAGCTTTATGGACATCAGTAGTGACAAATCAGTATCTGATATGTTCAAACTTCATGAGCAAGATCTTGTTATAAACTTGTACTTGCTGCACCTGGATATTATTCCTACTACAGAGGAGAATATGGTAGACAATAGGAATAACCAACTTCAGGATGCACAGAAAGACAAAGGAATCGAAAAAGCTCCTATTCTTGTAGTTGACAGTGAGGGTGATGATGAGATTTATGCTTCTAGTTCTGATGACTCTTGGAAAGATGACATGGATAGTGACTTAGAAGATGTCATAGCTGAAGATAGGGCCTTAATTTCTTCCAGTGACAAGGAGGAAAATGACTTGTCTGATTATGAGGAGATTGAGGATGCACAAGTTGGGCCTGATTCAGAATCTGACCAAGAATCAGATCCTTTGAGAGCAATCATGCTGTCAAAAATGTGGACTTACAATCCAAGAGAGGACATTGAGTTTGAGAAAGGAATGCTATTTACTAATGTGGATGCATTTAGAGCAGTGTTAAAAGACTATGCTATTCAAAAAGGATTTCCATTGGTGAGGTTGAAAAATGAAAAGAGCAGATACACTGCTAAGTGTGGAGCTGAGGGTTGTAATTGGAGGATTCATGCATCCCCAGTTGCTGATACAACCACATTCATGGTTAAGACATATACACCTGAGCATACGTGTGTGATGGATAGGAAAAACTCAGAAGCAACATCAGATTGATTGCAAAAAAATTAATTTCTGTTATGAGAGATCACCCAGAGATGACAAGCAAGGGAGTAAAGGCTGAAATGCAGAAGCATGGAGTCTTGCCAAGTAGAATGCAAATTTACAGGGCAAAAAAGAAAGCCTTAGAACAAATAGAAGGCTCACACAGTGAAGCCTATGGAAGGTTACCAAAATATGCTGAACTTTTGAGGATTAATAACCCGGGAAGCATCATGAAAATTCACTACGATAGGCCAAACCTTCTTATGGAGCCTAAATTTCTGAGATTGTTCATAAGTTTCAAGGCACAAAGAGATGGTTTCCTAGCAGGTTGCAGGCCATTTATTGGATTTGATGGCTGCCATTTGAAAGGTGCATTTGGGGGCATTCTGTTGACTGCTGTTGCTCTTGATGGGAACAACAGTTTGTTTCCATTAGCTTTTGCTGTTGTTGAGTGTGAAAACAAGGAAGCTTGGAGTTGGTTTTTTTACTATTTTCAGGATTTCTTTGGACCTTTTCCAAACAATATTCCACTCACCTTCATGAGTGATAGGCAGAAGGTATGTTTCCTGGTTCTATGTTTTATGTATAAGATTTCTTCCATTGTTGTTTTGCATGGCTGTCAAGTAACAGAACAGGAATTTGTTTCTGTCCATTCTCTGTTTAGGGACTAAACCTTGCATACGAGGAACAAGTGCCACAAGCTGCTGCACGATATTGTGATTAGCACATCTATAGCAACTTCAAAGTGAAATTTCCAGGATTGCTTCTAAGAAGATTTTTTTGGCAAGCAGCTAAAAGCTATGATCTGATAGGACACAATGAGGCTATGGAAAAAATAAAGAATATTAACATAGATGCTTGGAGATACTTAGCAAACATTCCTAAGTGTAATTGGGCAAGGCATGCATTTTCTGTTGAAATTAAGTGTGATCATGTCACCAACAATTTCACAGAATCTTTTAATGCATGGGTTGGTGAACTGAGAGGAAAGAATATACTTGCTCTGGCTGATGGACTGAGGCAAAAATTCATGAAGAAACTACATAAGAGGTATCAAAAAGGCTGCACATGGACATCTAGACTTACTCCACATGTTACTGGTAAGCTGAAGGATATTGCATCTGAATCAAGAAAGTGTTCATTGACAATGGCAAGTGAGAACACATTTGAAGTAGCAGATGTGGATAAGTCCTATATAGTCAAGCTGCATGAGAGGACATGTGAATGCGGGGCTTTCCAGTTGACTGGCATTCCTTGCAAACATGCTGCACTAGGAGTTATTTACAGAAGGGAGAAACTGGAAAGTTATTGTGATGCAGCTTTTTCAAGAGATCAGTATTTGAAAACATATGCATTCATGATCAACCCAATTCCACATATGAATAGGTGGCCTCCTATGGAAGATGTGACACCAGCAGTAGTTTTGCCACCACCACTTAGAAGAAGAGCTGGTAGACCAAGAAGAAATAGAAGAAGAGCACCTGATGAAGGAGCTCCTGCATCTCAACACAAGAGATCAATCAGTTTTAGGTGCTCTAAGTGTGGTGCATTTGGACATAATAGGAGAACTTGTCAAGGAGCTCCTGTTGCTGAAAAAAGAGGCAGCAGTACCTCTGCAAATCAGGTAGTAGAACGAAGAGGAAGACCAGGAAGAGGCATTGCCAATACTGGATTAGCAGGATCTGTTCTATGGGTAATTGTAGCAGTTGTATATTTACAGTATCTTTATGTGTATTTGGGATTGCAAATGAGCTTAGCTTTTTGTCATGATTTGTCAGGAACATGCACAAGGAAATGTGCCAGTGATTGTGTCAAGTCAAGGCAGTAATGGAAGCACTCAAAATCAAACTACTGGAGCTAATGTTCAACTTACTCATTCTGCTAGCACTAGTACTAATACCAGAAAGGTAATGCTAATCAGAAATTAGTTTCATTACCTATTGCTAACTATTTTAACTGTCAAGGCCATTAGTTTAATAGAATTTGTTGCATGGCTTCAGAGAGGAGGGCCAAATGCATGGGTTGGAACTACTGTTGCTAACAATAATAAGAGAGCCAGACGAAATGCAGCTCTTAATCCACATCAAACTCCAGCAGTCACTGCATCTGCAACAGCTCCAACAGTCACTGCCTCTTCAATATCCACTTCTGCAACTACCACTGGAACTCACAATGACAATAGCAGCATCAGTATGTGGTTTTAATTAGTACTAGTAATATGAGTTTTGCTTTGGGAGACTGATCTGGTACAGTTATATATGTAGCAATCCTCATCATCTAGAATGATGTTTTTAGATGATGTTTTCAATTCTTGTGGATTGCTATATACTTTTGCTAAGTATTATTTGTACCGTATGCCAAGTACTTATATGCATTCCCAGTCCCAGTGAACAAAATCTTAGACATATGTTTTGGTGCAATATGGTGGAATTTCAATTTACTCTTGCCAAATATGCTCTGCTGCTATCCACAGATCTTGGAACATGATGATTTATTCCATTGTGTATGGAATTTGCTAACTCCAACGTGTATGCTGTGCTCTTTTTTAACTCTATGTCTCGGATTCCTTACCATTATGTATGAAGAGAAATTTCTAATGTGGTGATGGTTTTTAAAAAAATTCTACAAAGGGGGCGTTTAGGGTGTCATGTTCTGTAAAAGGGATGTTCGCATTTGTCAAATGTGAGTTCATTGAGATCGCATTTGCTAAATGCGAATTATCCCCCATTTTCCAGCCACCAAGATCCAAAAAAAAAAAAGAAAAAGAAAACATGACCTCACATTTCTTAAATGCGAGGTCATGTACCTCAGTTTCCCATCATTGTTTCGTATGATGCTTCCATATTTTGGCATGATTTTTCCTTTTGCTTCAGCTGTAATGCCATGTACTCAATATAAATGATTTAACTGCAAATTATAAAATGATTTACAATTTGCAATGAAAGCGTCTACAAATTTTAGCAGTTAAGGCTCTAAATTCATTAGAATTGGAAAAAAATCCCATAATATTGCCATCAATAGTTGATAATAATTTGGGGCAATAAATCTTAACCAAACTAGCAAGCTTTTTGGTTGGACTGTATATTGCATCCGATAAATACGAATTCCTAGAAAATTGCATCAAAAAATTTTAATATTTTTTAAATTACTTTTTAAATTTGTTTATTTGTTAAATTCATTCTTAGAAATTAACTCGTTGTTGAATAAAAAACCAGCTCTTTATGGCTTTTCTCCATTACAACAACATAGTACCCAAGGTGCCTTAAATAGAAATTTATTTATCGGATAAAATAAAAATAAATTCGTTGTTGAATAAAAGACCAGCTCTTTATACCTTTCGTCCATTATACTCACAGAATACCCAAGGTGCCTTAAATAGAAATTTATTTATCGGATAAAATAAATTTAAACCCATTGAATGCCGAAATTAAAATAAAATAAAATAAATTTATTGAATTAAAATAAAATAAAAGACCAGCTCTTTGAGCTGGACGGAGAGAGTGAAGGGAGAGTGAGACAGACTTGAATGCCGAAATTGTGAACTTTGTTTGTGTTTAGATTGAGTACCTCGCATTCAAGAAATGCGAGGTATCTCAGCTCGCATTCTCCAAATGCGAGCTTATTAAGCTCGCATTTGGAGAATGCGAGCTTATTTTTCTTTTTTTCTAGAAACACTTACCTCGCATTTGTGAAATGCGAGGTATTTGAACTCGCATTTCACAAATGCGAAGATCACATTTGTGGAACCAACTTCACAAATTACCCCCTTTGTAGAATAACTTTTTTTTTTCATCACAATTTAAGAATTTTCTCTATGTATGAAGCCTTATTGTTATAATTGGAATGAACTTAGCAGTAAAGTATTGTTGTACTTAAGGAACTTCACCTGTGTGCTTAGAGCATTTTCTGTCAAGTATGACTTTTGGTATAACAGTAATGCAACAAATCTTGGGGGACATACGTATGAAGTAAAATACAGCTTCAACTCATTTTTGCATAGCTTAACATCATGTTCGACTTACACATACCTTCTGGTTTTTTCATGTGTGACTAGTAAGGCTCCAAACAGCTTGGAACACATCTACTATTACAAGAACAAGAAAGTGTGATTGCTTTAACTATTTGAATGAAAAGATAAATTGCTAAGAGTAGTAGATTGATGATAAACAAGATGGTGATAATTGCATTCTGTCGAGGCATCAAGTTACATTCCTGATTTGCTGTCCTTAATGGAAGCACTGCACGATCAGCTTCATTTCTTTGGCTCTGCACTTCTTCACCTTCATTTCTTTGGCTCTGCAACTCTTCACCTTCATTTCCTTCATACCACTGGAAGTAGTTGCACTTTGAACAACTAAAATATAGTTTATTCGGATTTCTTTCACTCTCTGAAATTCGTAATGTAGCCTTACGGTTGCATTTACAATACCGGTTCTTCATGCTTAATGATGAAGGTGATTTATATGAGTGCCCTTCAAAGGATGAACTAGCCATTGCTTTGCCCAATTACCTCTCCATCTGCCTTACTTCACCAGCGGTTCCTTCACCTTTTAATACCAGTAGAAGCACTCAAAGTAGCCGTTGCATGTCCAACGGTCATGCAACAGTGCTGCCAGGAAAATATTCTCCAATTCATATTTTTCACCTATTGCAACTTTCTTATGTCACTGTATCAGTCAAACTAAGGGTATGAAGGGAACTAAAATACTCTCCCTCCTCCAAAATGCTTAATCTATTGTTACTTTTGCTTAGAGGGGCTGACATTGTTAAGAAAATGTCAATTCAAGGGGTGGTAGGAGAGATTTCCAAAATGTGGAGGGAGCTTAGTGATATTTCAAGAAACCTCAGGGGAGGTTTCTGATATTATCCCTTTTTTAAATAGATAAATTATTATTTTATATCCCAAACATACTTTTGAGAGAGTAAGTTTAGTTCAAGTAATAATAATTTTTTATACATAAATAGTAATTCTTACTTATAACATAATAAATTTGATTAATGACCAAAACTTACTAATTTATGGCACAAATGTACTATTTTGCTTTAAAAACTTATACCAAACCAATACTAGGAAGGTTATTTGAAATAACAATCAAATATTTTATTAATGATTAAAACTTAGTACCTTAGTTAGTAAGTACTCGTAATATACTTGTATAATACATGATTATATGTATACTTTTAAATTTTTTCTGTATTTATATATTTTAAAATATTATGTGAAAAATATTTTGACCTTTCACATAACCTTATAAAATAATAAAATTTTATTGTATTATAATTTTGAATAATTTTTGAAAAGTTTAAAAGTTTGGTTAATAATAACAACACATCGTCCTAGTTAAGATGATAAAGTTTTAATATATTTATTTTTTGGGACACAAGAAATAATAAGAATTAAACTTGTATTAATATAGACCAAACAAAATGAGAGAAACAGTGTAACAATTAATACAACAATAAAAATAACAAAATTAGTATAATCTGAATTTTTTTTCTCTGGATATTGTTCACGAATATAAGATCTAACCACTAAACAAAAATCACATGCATATATAATTTATTGTATAATTTAAATTAAATTTAGTTCATGTACAAAATGATCCTAAGATAATTAGCACACTGCAACACCATATAATTATTTTAACAACAAAAATTTTTTTTACCAAAATTCTCCAATATCCATGACATATGTATGAGAGATATTTTACCATATTTTTATCTCTTTTTTCCCATATTTGTATCTCATATCTAATCATTGATATTAATTTGAGGAAGAATATTTTTTATAATAAAATCATTTTGAATTTAATTAATAAGTTGAGATTTTTTTAAAAATAAAAGTGAAATATTTTGGGAACTTATTTTTTATTGTCCCAAAATTAAAAGATTGCTATTTTTTACCAATTGTTGCTATTAACATTTTATTTTCTAGACTAATTTTTATCAATATAAAATTAGTTTAGTTAACAATAATTGACGTTCTATTGGTCTGAGGATTGATAAGCTATTGTTGTTATTTTAAATGTAAATACATAACCTAAGTAATAAAATAAATAATAGCTACTTAAAAAAAGGAAATAGGTGCTCAATTGATTGCATTCAAAATACGAATTCTGTTAATGCATAATTGCTAAATTATATTTTTATTTATAAGAAATCAATATGCATCATATATTGACCAGGACTAAATTATTGATTACTTAACAAATCATATCTAAACACATGATGTGATATATATCTTACATTTGGTCACCTTTATACTCATACCATTTTCCTTTCTTTCTATTTATATTTTAAAGTTGCAAAATTCTCTTGATCATATTAGTGACAATGCATAAAATCTTTTACAAAATTATTTCAATTTATTTACAAAATATTAGTACTTTCAGGAGAAGCAATGCATTGTAGGAATGGTTTACTAATTTTTTTAGTAAACATAACTACTACATTAAAAAGTTAAAAAAACTTGATTTTATTATGCTTTAATTAGGAGTGCTTTTGAAGAGAAGAATTAGGGGATTAATTTCTTTGATTCAAGAATTTTTAGCACTTGTAATTATCAAAAGAAAAAGAATTTTTAGAGATTGTAACTCTCTTATTATTTGATTTAATAAATTTGATATTTGTGCAAGTTTTCATGTCTTTAATTTTGGGCAACGAAATTTGTGCTTACAATTGGACACAAATATGGTAAAATATCCCTCATATGTATGACATGGATATTTGAGACTTTCAGCAAAAAAAAAAAAATTGTTATTAAATTAACATTGCATCACAGTGCGCTAATTATTTTAAGACCGTTTTATACGTGAACTGAATTTAATTTAAATTATACAATAGATTATATGTGCAAGTGGTTTTCATTTAATTGTTGGATCTCATTTTTATGAACAATCTCTCAAGGAAAAAAGTCCAAATCATACTAATTTTCTTATATTAACCGTTATACCAATTTTGTCATTTTTATTGTTATACTATTTCTCATTTTGTTTGGGTTTTAACTCTTATTAATTCTTATGTCCCAGATGTAAATTTATTAAAACTTTATTATCTTATTATATTCATAGGTGTTAAATTATAAAAAGTGTGATATAGAAACAAATGATATTCTACATGTAACTAAGAAGATTTGTTGTTATTGTTATTCAAACTTTTAAACTTTTCAAAAATTGAAAATAATTAAAAACTTATAATAAGACAAATTTTATTACATATTTTACAAGGTTATCTGAAAAGTGAAACTACTTTTCATAGTATTTTAAAATATATAAATACAAAAAAATTTTAAATTATACCTATAATCATTTATTATATAGGTATGTTATGAGTACTTACTAACTAAGGTACTAAGTTTGAATCATTAATAAAATATCTTATCATTATTTCAAATAAACTTCCTAATACTAATTTGAGATAAGATTTTAATGTAAAATTATACATGTATTCCAAAAAAT